AGTGAAAGAATGCTTTTGGGCTAATGAAAAAGAGAAATAAAACAACTTTACAAGAATAAAAACGAGAGCTCAGATTTTCAAAGAACATACATTTTCAAGCTTTTGGGAAAATACAAATTACCATTGTGTGACAAATCAATGCCTCAGCCCAACGCTTTAGCATCAGGTCCAACTCCATCATCAGACAAAAGAGGCCGAACTCGACAAAATATGCGGATATTTCCCCTTTAGTTCCTGCATAAACATTATTGTGTTTAAAAAATCTCTAAGAAGAACTTTTTCTGAACTTTAACATCAAGTATAATTAATTCTAATTTATGGTACCAGGATAGTGTTATGCAATTTCTTTCGTAGTTTCTTTCCTTCTACGATCTTTAGATCAGCATCAGCCAGCCGATTTTGCAATTCCAGAATCAATGCACTTTGCTCCTCAGAATTCACCTCAGACAACTATTAGGGAAAAGGATAGAGAGACAATAAAATAATTGTAAGGAAAAAGTCATCCAAGTTCTAGATGCAATAAGAGATATGAATGAAACAAAATATAAAAAAAAAAAGCTGCAACATTAACCTGCAATTCCCTATCTGCAGAAGCAAGCTGCTCTTGCAATTGCCTTATTTGCTCACTTTGAGACAAGAATGTTGACTGAACCAAAAGAAGAGGAATAAAAAAGGGAGAAGGTTAACATTATAAACCTAGATCCATTACTGGGAACAGGCATTTAAGGAATGAACCTCCAGTGAATTCGTTTTAGAATCAAGCTGTCCAACGCGGCAATGGATTTTCAAGTACATTCATTGTATTTCGCAACTTCAGCTGATAAAGTCTGAACCTGCTGCAAATGCCGATCACGATCATCTCTTACTTGTTGCAAATCACCTCTCAGGCATTGAATCTCGTTTCCAATTGATTCCTTCTGTTTGATGGCCTCGTCTTGTGAAGACTTTCGAAATCAATCACGCATTAATTAAAGATGGTTAGGAATGTCAGCAAAAAAAATTTAGAAGCAGCACTCACATTACAAAGTATACAGTATGTCAGATGGCTCAATAATACAGCAAAACAGAAGAAACTTTTATTTGTTACTCAACACAAGTTCGCCATGTGTGAAATTGGATAAAAGAGAAGTTTCACCAATAAATACTATCTTACGTAGAAGTATCACAAATGTAGCTGTGAGTTTGGCATGACAACTTGAAAAGAACCAGAGCCTGAAAGTTGGTAGATGCAAGGTGCACGAATCCATACAAGCATGAAACTGTAAAAGTGAATCCATTCCAATTCTTTGGTAACTTAGATCGTGGGCAGGATTGCAAGACACAAATAACGCTGCTCAATTACTGAAACTGAAACAATAGAAAGGAATTCTCTCCAGCCTTGAAGAAAGCTAAGAACACTTCGTCCTAGAGTAAAGAATAAATACGGTTAGATATTACCTATCTAACATTCAAAGAAAACGGAACAGCTATTTGAACTTTATCGATTTTGATTCTAGTTCCCTTAAGCTTATTCATAATAGACTGGTTATTGTTGGACCATAACTTAATAGACGTGTTTCTCTGTTTTATTATTATTATTATTAGTCCCGTATAACAACAAACGAGCCCTTAGTGAAGGTGAGAGATACACTTGTTTGTGAGTTTATTATGACTTTCAAATGAATAAACCACAAATACTAGCTGCAAAAACATGCAATTTGCTTAGAATATATGTATCAAACTGCATGCGAAATTCAGATTATAAAATAAAATATTAATTAAAATATTTGTTTGATCTTTTTCGAATTTTAGTTTGTTGTAAAATTCATGCGAGTGTGTGTGGGAAGATATGTGAGGGAGAAGGAAAAAGGTAAGTAATACAAAGGAGAGTAATATGTTAAAGGCAATTTTGCCCCTAATATCACCACCTTTATCGCAGTTGCAATTTAATCATGACTTTTTTACCTTTGTAAATTACATCACAATCTTTAAATTGTTGCAAACAGTCATAAACAAGCTGATGTAGTCGAACAACAAACTGAAGGTTGTGATATAGTTTGCCCGGAATATGCAAGTTGGTGCACCGATTTGCAACAAATTGAAGATTATGATATGATTTACAAAAATGAAAAGTCGTGATTAAATTACAATTTCCAAAAAAGTTTTGCTATTAAGGACAATTTTGCCTATGTTAAAAAGATATTTATGAAAGAGATAAAGATAGAGATTACATGCAATTTATTAAGAAAGCAATCAAGCATAAAAAAAACATCATTATCTACTTTACTTAAATTTTGGAATTAAAAAGTTGCAATGCTAAAACAGTAATTAAAAAACACTATCTACTGTTATTGTTTTTTCGGAAACCACATGTAGACATGTATGTACTTAAGCCAAAATTAATCACTATCTAGTATAAATTTGCATATGCAAAATTGATCGAAATTGGTCAAAATTGATTTGGGTCAAATGACCCGACCCAAATCAAATTGGTCTAACTAGTCAAACTCATCTGGATCATTGTCGTCTTGGACGGGATCGTCCGGGTCGAAATCGTCGGCGTTGAAACCCATTAGGTTAAGCATCAAAGCAAAGACGAAAACGGTCATGAAGGGATCTGGGGGCACATCGTCGCCTTTGCTTTCATCGTCTTCGCTGTCATCACCGTATTGGGCGGGCGGGATGAGATCGTCGGGTCGAGGAAGGGATCCCCGGCCGGTTCCTCATCGGACGACGGCTGATTGGCCGGCTCACCGAGGGTCTGACAGTGGTCCATAACGTCTTTGATGTAGAAGACGGAACTGCAATTCGGAAACCGGCAATCATGTGGCATCCCAGCGAATAAGGGCGGCAAACAGTCTAGTGATACTGATGCGAACATTCTCTTAACATTCTGACATCTTCGCCAAAGTCGATGATGTTCCGGCTGCCGACGCAATTCCTCCATTCATCATTATCAACTTGGTCGAGGGCTTGGGGTCCCTGAAATCTCGATTCCGGCAACAAACGCAGGTCTGATTTTTTTGGCGTTTCCTGTTTTTTGCTATTTTAGTTCCAGTTCTTGGCTTTCAGTCCAACAATCCAATTCAGTTTCTCGAACGTCCCCCATTCACTACGACAGAGTGGACACTGGCTTGAATTGGGAACCCATTCCATATAGCAACAATTGTGGATAAGATGCAGGCAAGCAAGAATACGAACGAGGCTATCCACCGTGAAGATTTCTTGACAGATGACACAAGAGTTGTTCTAGTAAAAATCATGAATTCTTCTTCAACAAGGAAGAGATTTCTGATACAGTAAATGGGCAGGTCATTACGGTTTTAAAAACTTGTTCAAGACTGATAGTGATCATGATGCTGATGATGACATGATGATCTGTATCAAAAAATCTCTTCCTTGTTGAAGAAGAATTCATGATTTTTACCAAGAACAACTTTGTGTCATCTGTCAAGAAACCTTCACCGTGGATAGCCTCGTTCGCATTCTTGTTTGTCTGCATCTCATCCACAGTTGTTGCTTTATGGAAATGGGTCCCCAATTCAAGCAGTGTTCGCTCTGTCGTAGTGGAATAGGGGACGTTCGAGCAACTGAATTCGATTGTTGGACTGAAAGCCAAGAACTGGAACTAAAATAGCAAGAAACAGGAAACGCCAAAAATCAGACCTGCGTTTGTTGCAGGAATCGAGATTTCAGGACCTCAAGCCCTCGACCAAGTTGATAATAATGAATGGAGGAATTGCGCCGACTGCCGAAACATCGACTTTGGCGAAGATATCAGAATGTTAGAATGTTCGCATCAGTATCACCCGGACTGTTTGCCGCCCTTATTCGCGGGGATGCCACATGACTGTCGGTTTCTGAATTGCAGTTGCGTCTTCTACATCAAAAACGTTATGGACCACTATCAGACCCTCGGTGAGCCGGCCAATCAGCCGTCGTCCGACGAGGAACCGGTCGGGATCCCTTCCTCGACCCCGACGATCTCATCCCGCCCGCCCAACACGGTGATGACAGCGAAGACGATGACAGCGAAGACGACGATGTGCCCCCAGATCTCTTCATGATCGTTTTCGTCTTTGCTTTGATGCTTAACCAAATGGGTTTTAACGCCGACGATTTCAACCCGGACGATCCCGTCCAAGACGACGATGATCCAGACGAATTTGACTAGTTTAACCAATTTGATTTGGGTCAAATTTATCCAAATCAATTTTGACCAATTTCGATCAATTTTGCATGTGCAAATTTATACTAGATAGTGATTAATTTTGACTTAAGTACATACAAGTCTACATGTGGTTTCCGAAAAGACAATAATAGTAGATACTGTTTTTAATTACCGTTTTAGCGTTGTAACTTTTCTTAATTCCAAAAATTAAGTAAAGTAGATATTGATAATTTTTTATGCTTGATTGTTTTCTTAATAAATTGCATATAATCTCTCATCTTTATCTCTTTCATAAATATCTTTTTAACATAGGCAAAATTGTCCTTAATATCATAACTTTTTTCGAAATTGTAATTTAATCACGACTTTTTCATTTTTGTTCGGCTACATCAGCTTGTTTATAACTGTTTTCTGACTGTTTGCAACAATTTAAAGATTGTTATATAATTTACAAAGGTAAAAAGGTCATGATTAAACTGCAACTGTGATAAAGGTGGTTATATTAGGGGCAAAATTGCCTTTTAACATATTACTCTCCTTTGTATTACTTACCTTTTTCCTTCTCCCTCACATATCTTTCCACACACACGCATGAAATTTACAACAAACTAAAATTTGAAGATCCGAAAAAGATCAAACACATATTTTAATTCATATTTTATTTTAAAATATGAATTTCGCATGCGATTTGATACATATATTCTAAACAAATTGCATGTGTTTTTGCAGCTAGTATTTGTGGTTTATTCATTTGAAAGTCATAATAAACTCTCAAACAAGTGTATCTCTCACCTCCACTAAGGGCTCGTTTGTTGTTTCTCTGCTTAAACTAAGATGCTTCTAGACACAATCAAAGTAAGACATAAAAGCTTACACGAGATGAATTAAGCTGATTTTGCAAAGAAGTATAGTGGCCCCTAAGAGCGCTTAGGTTCTCGACCCCAGCTTTCTTTTCTTGCTCAACACGTTTGAGTGTCTCATTTGTTTTCAGAAGTTCTGATTGAAGTCTACTATTGTATTGTTGCAGACTAGTGTTGTACTCTTGCAATCGCTTGTACATGTCGTTAAGCGATTGTATCTGCAAGAGAGACACAAATTTAGAACTACCATTTAGTAGAACCTGTTTAGGAACATGCGTGCACTTATATGTTCCACTACTTACCTTCTGGTTGGTACTAGCGTTATCTTGCCGAGATCTCTTTAGCTCTTCAGAAAGGGAAACCAGCATTCTATCAGCTGCTAGTCTGTTTTCTTTCTCTCTACTCAAAGTGTCCAATGCTCCCTAGTTATATATCATTTGAAGATTTAGTTCACCATGTTTGGAAATAAAGTATAATCACAATGCAGTATGCAGGCTCCACATACCAATTTATCCACTTCCTCTTTTGTGAATCTTTCTATCAGTGCCTCCAGATTTTTTCTCAATTCCATAATAATTGTATTCAGCTCGTCCTCCTTGGCATTCATCATCGACTCTGGAAGAATGATGTCAGAACAACACAGCTTTTAACACTTCTACAAATATAATTGATTTCTTACAGAACATTGAGAACGAAACTAAGAACCACTATTACCAATATCATTGCACTTCTTTTCCGCCGATTCCAACAAACACTTGAATTTCTCCTGTTCTGTAATGTAATTTCCTTCAAGCTGTTGAAACCACTTGATGCATTGTTTTAGGCTTTTAATGTAATCTGCCATTTGGGCACTTTTTTTCCTGCAGAAGCATCAGATATCTGGACAACAAATTATAGCATCGTGACATCCAAGCTAGCACACATCCACAATTTAACTAACTCTCGAGCTACATAAACTTGAACCTAAACAATCCAAAGTGCCTTTAAAATAAAAATCTCCACTTTATTGTACCTTGTAGTTAAATCTGTTCTTAACTCTCAGCTTCTCATGTAACAATGCTTCCACATCCTCTTTGGTGAATTCAATGACACCGCCACAGACAGAATAAGAATTGTTGAGCGGCCCACTAGTCGGAGAATAACCACGAGAAACAATAAATGAGACTCAAACACCTAAGAACATAAACCTCAATATTTTAGCACGAGAAATGCAACACAAATTCAACAAGTAACCCCACCCCACACTTAAAAATTGACATTGTCCTCAATGGCAGAAACACAATGCTCAAGCAAAATATAGAAAATAAACGCAAGAGAAGTAGAAAACTCCCCTGATGGCGTAGAATATCCGGTTGCATTTTCCAGCTAGTCGACTTTGTATGTAGCCGTGGAGAATTGGACTCGTATGAGTGAAGGATTGAACCCGTCCCCATTATGCTTGGCTACTCGTACTCCTGGCTCGGCCCACCAAACTTTAAATCCTCCACGCTTGTTTAAAGTGCTGAGCGGACAGCAGCCAAGCTTCATTAATCGGGCATGAACGTACAACCGACGGTGGGGATTTTAGCCATTAATGCTTCCAGGTCAAGAGAAGGTTGCTCGGTCTGACACATGACTCTCCGTGAAGATGTGGACAGAGGACAACGAAGACAGAGGTGGTGGTGCGGCTCGATCGTGTTAGGCAGTGGTCAGGCTGGTCATGAAAGGATTTTCTGGCCGCCTTGCTTGTTTGGAACCTCGGTTGATGTCGGTTTCTCGTGGCGTCCCTGACGGTCGCGTTTTCCACCAGAGAAGATGCAATCGATAGTCTGTTACGCCGGAAAAGGAGCAGCGGGTCCGGCCGGTTTGTGAAATCCTTCACGGGGTATGAGCAGGGGACGTCGGAGATCGGTTACGCGCGCGGGGTTGACTGAGGTGTGCTCCGAGGGTGAACGGAGTGACTGGCAGATTTTAATTTCAGGATGCCTCGCCGGAAAGATTCAGGTCTGGACGGGTTTGGAAGAGGAGCAATAGATCCCGCCGAAGAAGAAGATGCGGCCAGTCTGTTAAGCGTGCGGTGGTCGGGCTGGGAATCGCGGTTCGCCGGGGTGTGCTCCGAGGGCGAACGCGGTGGTCGGCGGTCGGGAACAGAAGGGTCGCGGCGCAGGAGGGTCGTCGGGAACAAGGGTCGCGCACGGTGGTCATCGGGAATTCCTCGAGACATGTGCTCCGAGGGCGACGGAAGCTGCTCGCCGGTTTCTGTTATTTGTCGTCGGTCGCGAAAGGAGATGAAGGAGGTGGACGGGAATGACAGATTTTCTCGCGATTCTGGCGATTTCTGTGAGAGAGAAGAAGTTAGGGCTGGGAAGAGAGAGTGAATTATCCGATTTTTCTATTTTTTTTCTTTTTTTTAATAAAAGCTGAATAAAAAAAATAAATAAATAAAAAATAAAAAAAAATAAGCTGACAGGAGCGTTTTTCTCCTAAGGCGTGGGCACGACTTAAATGAAGAGAAACCCTGCATTTTACGCGTATAAGGCGTGCCCACGCCCTTATAAAGAAAATCGTTCCTACCTTAAAAATTTTCGAAAATTTTATCAAAACTACAAAATACTAACCTAAAAACAATAAAAATCAAGTAGAAAAAATAAAAACAACACTAAAAATTGGGTTGCCTCTCAAAAAGCGTCTTTCTTTAACGTCTTTGGCTAGACCATGCTATTGATCAACCGGAGTAGTTTGGGCTACTAAACTGAATTTTATCAATGGCGTGAGCTTGAAAACCTTCATAAAAAGGTTTCAAACGATGGTCATTCACCTTAAACACCTTACCAGTATCGTGACTTTTTATCTCAACTGCACCATGAGGAAAAACATTAGTAACAACGAAAGGCCCTAGCCATGTAGAACGTAATTTCCCAGGAAATAATTTCAATTTAGAATTAAAAAGCAACACTTTTTGACCAATATGAAATTCTTTCCGAGAAATCATTCTATCGTGAAAAACTTTCGTTTTCTTCTTATAAATTTTAGAGCTTTCATAGGCTTCATTACGAATTTCTTCAAGCTCTTACAACTGTAATTTTCTCACTTCTCCTGCCTCATCCATTTTGAAATTGCAATGCTTAATTGCCCAATATGCACGATGTTCTAGTTCTACAGGAAGATGACAAGGCTTACCAAATACAGAGCGATAAGGAGGCATACCTATTGGAGTCTTATAGGCGGTTCTATATGCCCATAGCGCATCATCAAGTCGTGTACTCCAATCCTTCCTATTCGGACTCACAGTCTTCTCAAGTATAGACTTGATCTCTCTGTTCGAGACCTTTGTCTGTGCACTTGTCTGAGGATGGTAAGCAGTAGAAGTTCGATGGATGACACCATACCTTTTCATTAAAGCCTCCACAACCTTGTTGCAGAAATGAGTCCCACGATCGCTTATAATGGCTCTTGGTGTCCCAAACCTAACAAAAATATTAGACTTCACAAAATCCACAACAACTTTAGCATTGTTAGTCCGTGTAGCCTTGGCTTCAACCCATTTTGACACATAATCAACAGCAAAAAGTATGTACACATTTACAACTGTGAGTGCCTGTCGGGCTTGTGCCCTCGTTCCAACATTAGGTGCCATTTTTGTAATTCCAATCCTTCTAAACTTGCTCTGTTGAAACAGAAGTATACTATCCGCACAAAATGACTTTACAATAGCACAAAATCAAAAGAAGCCATCGTTTAAGCCTTAAGGCACAACTGTATTTTCCGGTTAACCACATACTGAAATCCCAAAACCCTAAAACATACACTTAAAAATTAAAATTTAGCAAAGTATTGTCAGTTATATTTCAACAGATTTCTAATGACTATCTTATCCAAGAGTATAAATCTGCAAAATTGGATGAGAAAACTGAGGTCCACACAGAATCCAAATTTCTTAAAAAATGTTCAACGCAAAACAAAAGGCTCAAATCAAATGATGTGTCAAATTGGGTCAGAACTCGATCGTCGTCTTTGTCTGGATCATCGTCTTGTACGGGCGGGATGAGATCGTCGGGGTCGAAACCCATGTGTATAAGCAACTCAGCAATGAGGAGAGTGTCGAGGAAGGATTTAACCGCTATGACGGGGATGTCTTCATCGACGCTCTCCTCATTACTGGGTTGCTTATACACATGGGTTTCGACCCCAATGATCTCATCCCGCCCGTCCAAGACGATGATCCAGATGAAGACGTCGACTGATTCGACGATGACTGATTCTGACCAATTTGACCCATCATTTGATTTGGGCCTTCTATTTTGGGCTGGACATTTTATTAGAAAATTTGAATTCTATTTGGACATCAGTTTTCACATCCAATTTTGCAGATTTATACTCTTAAATAAGATAATCATTAGATTTCTGTTAAAATATAACTGGTAGTACTTTGGTAAAGTTTCATTTTGATGTTTATGTTATAGTCGTCCGTCCTGTTCGTTGCCCGTCTGACCCTAGCGTAGCTCCGTCCGACCCTATGATACTCATAAAAGACACCCTGCCGTTCATAAATTTAAATAAAGATTATGAAATGGTTGCCGCTTAGGAAATACGAACCATCTTAGGATCACATCACAAATATCCACAAACAAACGACCTGAATCACGCTTGTCATTTGAGCATTGCAACAACCGCTTGTACTCACTTATAGACTTGAATTCTAGTGTTGGATTCCACTTTCATCCTTACATTCAAAACCGATTTATCAAAGGTCCCGTCCTTGAACTTGAAATACCCATCGTCCGCACATGTTTCTTGTTCTTGGAAGCTAAACAATAGTTCACGTGCCCCGAAATGTTTATCAACCCGCACCACGACATCTGTTTTTTTATGATCTACTGTTGTTAGCCATGGAACGATGTGCTCATGCAAAACTTTTTCTAAAGCCTTCTACAAGACACAACCAAGAAGAAAAGATTAGCAAATCTATACACTTAGTGACACCATGTCTGGGCAAACATGAAATATCTACTCACAAACTTTTGTAGAGCCTCAAGTAATAAAAAATTTAGCACTTCATCATAGGCATGCACAATGAGTCTTTTGTCTCCAAAGAGTTAGCTAACTACTTTCCTCAGAAGCACCCTCAGAACACTCCTGTAATTCGTAAAAATCTTGAAAATAAAGACTTTATCAACCGAATTTAATAGATCACTGCCCAACAACTTTTTCGCCTACAAATTAAGAAAAAAAAATAAATCAGTAAGAACATGATCTAACAAATTTCTTTCATTCTTTTTCTAAGAAATAAATATATTAAGAGATCAAAGACATTTATTTTGTACCTCGGCGAGCGCTCTTTCGGGACCACTGCCTTTTAAAACGAATTGTGAGTCGTACGGAATATGTACGGATTGCTCAAGAACTGGTTCCAAAGATCTTCGTTTCGATTATGGCACACACATCACAATTCAAGCTAATCAGACCCCACACGAATTAGAGAAGTCGACAACATCACTTGCCTGAGCTTCACGGCGCATAAGCTCGAGGAGAACCCTCATAATAGAAAGCAAGGCCTTCTCGATCTTGTCTACAACAATCACCAAGTAAGGACGTCTCGCCACAACTCCAGTAAGACGGCCCCAAAATTACTCATGCTTCTCCGTCGAACTAAACAGACAGAAAAAGAAAAGCTTCGCTCAACAATAGCATAGAGAACCCCAAAAGAAATGAAATTTCACAGAGTTTATATAGCAAAATACCATTCGGTTGTTTCCTCTGCATCATAATATGATAAGTCAATCTCTACAAGCCTGCTATCATCACTGTACCAATGCTCGGCAACGGCCCTGGCAATACTCGTCTTACAAGTTCCCGTGGGGCCAA